CAAAAATAAAATGGACAGTGAGGTGTGTTAGATAAAGCACATGCCAATTCTTTAGAAAGAAACAACCTATGAATTAAAACAAGGGAGTTGGTAATTAGATTAAAAACAGGAAGTGTTGGTGAAGAATAACCAGAATTCCGTTTTCAGTATACGATAGTTGACGTGCAAGAAAGCAGAACTACTTTATCGTGAGCTAAAAGTAAGGTAAACAAATTCCATTGTGGTAAGAGACATTGATTAATAGGATGAACAAATTCAGCTGAGCTAGTATCTGTCTTGGTGATCTTGTCATCTGACGGTTTGCTATATGGTTATTGTCAAAAATATTGAACTGGTTCTCCTTAAACTGTGTTTTGCCACTAAAGTAAATCTGGAGAATGTTTAGCTTAGACAACTATTCTTTCTGGCTCCATTTCTAATTGTAATGTAGCTTGAATTGAGTCATGTGGAGACCAGGAGAAAACTAGGACGAGTATGTGATTATACTGTGGTGTCAGGTATAGCCAATGTTTTAATACTGTATTCTGTAAAAATCTGCTTCCCAGAGCCCAGACTAATAGGGTTGCTATATGAATTTTTGAATTGACTTTTGCTTGGATTATTGCAATGACCACAAACTAGCCTCTTCATTTTGAATTTCTATTCTGAAATTTATTCAGTTTTTTGTATTCATTTTATTAAACAGCAGTATCAGCGAGAAAAATTTAATCACACAGCCTAATGAAATGCAAATCTGAATCCACCCCACTCTGTCCTAAGCACCAAAACAGCTTATATATTAAATTTCTGCAAGAACACTAGCAAAGTAGTCAGAAAATTCCTGGAATACGTACCAATGAGCATCACTGACATCTTTTACTTTAAAAAGCTAAGTGAACAGTGATATAGAGTGGCCAAGATATTTTCCTCATAGGAATAAATTTTTTTGCATGAAAGGTCAAACTGAAAATAAATTTAGAATTTACATGTTTTGATGTAATTAATAAAACATACTAGTTATTTGCATAAGTGTTTTAGTTGACAGGAAACAAATGCAAGACATTTTGTCTGTTCTGGGATTACTTGTGCGTGTGTGTGTATCATACTTATTTTTTAGGAGAAATATAATAATTTGGGATGTTTTTTGATTCAAAGCCTTTTTATTTCTTGCATTTTCAGCTTATATCTCCAGTCCTATAGATATTTATATTAAATAATAAGTTCCACATTTTAAATTTTACTATAGAAAGCTTGTTAGCTAACATTGCACCAAAACAAAAACAAAACAGTGAATAACACCCAATCCAAAAAGTTAACTGTTTTTCATTATGAATCATTGGGAACAGCATTAATATAGTCTCCTTTGCTTACATAGCCTCACATATTGTTGTTCATTTGTGGAAAATATGATGTTCACTTTCCAAAATTCTTATAATGAATGCTTCCCCATCTGTTCAGAAGTGTGTTTCCAGAAAAACGTCCAGTCTACGGAGTGTGAGAAATCATCAATATCTCTTTCTGGTTGTGAGAATTCATTCTAATCCAAGACAATGTGGATTGCTTATAATACTCAGGAATTTAGTCTTTTTTTCCCCTTTTCATTTTGAGGTAATCCCTATGCATGTTGTGTCAGGAGCAGTCTCAGAAGAGTGAGAAAATTTTCTATTCTGTGATGGCTGTACATAGTGTTAGTTCAGACATCATGGATGCATGTGCATTTGCGTCCATTCACATGTAGTTATGCACTGTTCGCTTCGTTCATATTCACATATTATAATTACGCAGGAATACAGACATTATCCCTCTTCTTCTCCCTCCATTGTCCCTTTTTTCCCAGTGATTCACTATGGTTTTCCACCATTAACTGATTGACTAATCAACTCATTGGTAGGTACTAGGTTAATGATACAAGAAACTAGCAATCTGTTTTCTGTTGGCCAGCTAATCATATTAATTACTTAGCCAAGTATGTTTTAAAACCAAAGGTAGCCCATCTATTTTTATTACTAGCTAACAGAAAGGAATGGCCC